CAGCTTTTATGCTTCGGATGCATGATGTGATAGCCTCTTCGGAGTATTGTTTACATGCTGATCTTTTCGCCATTCTACATGAAGTACAATTGTCTATAATTATGCTTATTAGTGTGTAAAATCAATGTTTATTCATACCTGAGATGAGAAATCCTGAGCAAAAAGTAGAAATCACTGAGAAATCAACTAAACACTTGCTTATGTAAATATGGAGCTATGGCCAAAAGTGACAGATCGCAGTAGGTACTTTCGCTTGTAGCGATAATGGGTACACCAAATGAAAAATGTACCTACTATGGTGATACTAGAAAATTATATTTTTTCGACATATTTCAAATGTTTTACTTGCTAACATGAACAACGAGCACGTGCATGAAAAGTCTACGCTAGTAAAATGTTAAAAAAGGCTTATTGTTTAAGAAAAAAATCAATATTTCATTTGCATGTTTCGTACCCATCGGATAACAAAAATTACTTTTGCAAGCATGCATATTTTCAAACTCGTTTATATCGGGTTGTAATGTCCTGAACATATATTTTTATATAATTAAAGTGTACAGGCATGTCTGAAAATACACTGGTAAGCATTAATCGAATGATCATGTGAAGTTTTTTTCCAGATAATTTATAAAATGTCTTCACTATAGCCATAATTGGTACTATAGCTATAACTGGTTCATCTACCCTAGATCCGTTTCGAACGAAATTATCTAAATTATGTAAGTTACGAAAACCGCGCGAATTCCGAAAGCCGTGCGAGACAACCGAAGCGAGAAAAAAAGGCTTATTATCATTTAAAGAGTGCCACCAAAATAAATGTGATAGCCTATGTTGGCAAGTTGATTAATTTTGGTTTCCTCCCTAGATATTCTACTTATTTACTACTGAGCTTTGTATCAAATTAGTTAATTTAAAGAACGTATCAATCATTTCAAGATTTCGCAACCACACCGAACAAATTCAATACTACATAAGCTCAAAAGCGTTTGACAAGCTCTACCGAATTGCGTATCACGTCTGCGTAAGCTCCGTAGACGTAGGCGCGTTAAATCCGACAGTCGGCAAAGGTTTAACCTGTACCAACACCGCTTAAGGAACGACCTCGAGTCAGTAAAACCGTTTAGAGCTAAACATCTAAATTACGTAAGATACGAAAATCGCGCAAATTGTGAACGCCACGCGAAACAACCGTAGAGAGAAAAAACAGCTTATTATCACTTAAAGAGTGCCACCAAAATAAATGTGATAGCCTATGTTGACAAGTTGATTAATTTTGGTTTCCTCCCTAAATATTCTTCTTATTTTACTGTTGAGCTTTGTTTCAATTTAGTTATTTTACCGCACGTATCAATCATTTCAAGATTTCGCGACCGTACCGAACAAATACTATACTACAGAAGCTCAAAAAAAAACTTTTGGTGAGCTCAACCGCATTGCGAATCACTTCAGCGTAAGCTCCGTAAACGTAGGCGCGTTGATTCCGACAGCCGCGAAAAGTTAAACATGCATCAATACCACATAAGGAAAGATCGATTTTACGTAGGGTTTAGTTCATAGATTAACATTGACTGCTGTTTACAAATGTATGTACTTGAACACTAAGAAATAAGTTAACTCAAATGCTTTAACCGCATATATAAGAGATTTCGCGTATTGAGAGAATAATGTAGTAATCGAGTACAACAAACTCAGGGGAATACAATACCTCCAAAAGTTTAAAAGCTATTAATTGTCACCTACCTCTACTTTTACTTATTTCCTAAACTATTCATCTCCTTGTTAATCTACTTAATGCTATTGGTCTGCCTGCGTTTTCTTTTTAAAGTTCAAGACTAAATAAGAAGATTTACTCTACAACTTTAAAGGTTAGTTGCCTCCCTAAGCGGACCCCCCGCATCCTAATTCTTTTGTTAATCTACTTAATGTCATTAGACTTTCTGAAGTTTCTTAATTAAGTTCATTTGATGATTATGATATCTCATTAGTCTAATTTAATAAATTATTAAAAGCTCTAATTCACCTAATCAAGTATAACCCATGCTTTATTAAGTACCTGCACTTGTGATTGCAATCTAAAATTAAACGTGTTTCAAGTACTTTTGATTTAAGCCTATACCTATTTATTATATCTTAGTTCGACCCAGGTAACACCTTCATGTGACTAAAATGCTTCATTTTGAAGTTAGTTTCCTAGCTGATTTTTAAATTATATAGGGTATATGTTCCAATTACGATCTCACGTTTCCACTGTGTCGCACCACAAAATACATATGGGTATGTCACAATAGAAGCACACCACGGTGGAAATCCCGAGCCATAGTTCAAACACTTATCCCAAATCAAAATGAAGCACATATAAGATTAGTTACAATACCATGTACAAAAATTATGTTTAACATTGTTTCCTGAGTAATACTTCAATGAAAACAACAATGAAAGCTTGTCACGCAAATAGAAGGAGCACCGTAGGGCACTTTCTGAAATATTTCAATAGTATAATTCCCTTGCAAACCCAAATAAATCTATCTGCGTAAAAATAAATAAAATAACAGTGATTTGCGGCAAAACCCGCCAGTATCACACCCAACGTCAGTGCCTATACGTAAGCGTACTACGACGCAGCTCTCAATCGAAGGAGTAACAAGTGTGATACTATCACTGCTAGACTAGATCTTTGGTTCTCTCATGCAGTGGTTTATCAGAGAGGTGAAGCTTAGTAATCCCCATTGCCTGCCCATGGCGCCATTCTATCGCGGCATGAGCCAGCAACACCGGCCATAAACCTACCGTCTCCAACACTCCACTAAAAAGCATGAAATTAAGCCCGCCTACCAGCATCAAGGTGCAAAAACTAGCCAAGGGGAGGGAAAAGCTAATGAGGTCTTTTCAATCTTTAATCTTAATTCATTAAACTCACCCTACGGATTGACTGTCGTTCGGTTTCCGCAAGCCGTCGAAAGCTCGAGTAACTTCCCGGAAGGATTACAGCAGCTGCAGCAGGAGCAGGAACAAGCGGGTCACTTAATGCGCACAAATTTCACCCAATTTAAGGTAAAAAGTAAAGTAAATATTTGAAAACTAATTTTAGGTTATTTTATCTTAGCGTGAATCAAGGTAGCTACATATAGGTGTTCTAATGTGTCAAATTCGTGATTCAGCCATGTTGGATTTTTGTATGGGACAGCGACCGAGCTTGTTTACAATTTGCTCTAAAACCGCATCCCCCCCCCCCACCCCCCGCGACCTCCTCACCTATATAGTGACAAAGCTGTATCACCATGGCGTGAATGTCTTCAACTCAGTCTTCAAGAATCGATTTTGGTTCAGTGTTCGAAAATCCCAAAATCAACTGTCAGTGACGATTGTCAATTTCGGTTGTCAAATCTGACGCCAAATGCTAATTTTTCTCTTAACTGGCAATACTTCAGTCTGAAAAAAATATCGAGAAAATCTATCTAAGAAAAAAATGACTAAATCTACGTAAACAGTACCATTGAAATGTCATCAGAATTAGGTTAACCGCGACGGTACAAAAACCTTATGATCACCAAGCTTGACGGACATATTTCTTCCAGTCAGGTACGAACGCAGCCAAGAATGAAAGTTACCATCAATTCCTAATTCGTCAAACTTGGCCAGGGCGATTTCGTGATCCATTTTATTCCATTTTCCATCAATTTTATTCGTAAGCCTTTCTCCATTTGGCGAACGACGAAATAAGTAAATGTCCAAGGTTGGTGGTAGCGATGGTGGTAGCCGCCAAGATAGGTTCTATACGCATTCAAGTCAGTTGAATTCAACTGAGTTGATCAATTGACTTGCTTTATCTAAACTCAGCTTAATAGAAAATCCGAACAGATCAATGCGAAGAGTAAAACACCGACAAACCGACACGAATTACCATAGAAATTACCACGTAATTTCTGCTCAAAGCACACTACCGACATCTGTCGTCGTGTTCGCGAAAAATGTTTATCTAAGCCACGAACACGAGTGCAAAATGTATGGATTGGTTCGTGTCTGATCTATTCTGGACAAGTTATTATGTGTGGCAGGATAATATCTAAAAATGGGATTAAACCATCTGCTTTCTGTTTATGGCCGTACGACTGCGCCTATTGATTTAACACACGGCGGCTATTTATCCAGGATTCGCTCCTCAAGCCGCTGCCATAAAATACTAACTAAGTTACCTGTGTATAATTCTTATGGGCGGGGTTGCATCGCACCGTCATCAAATGAGAATTTAACCGAAGACAACAAATCAAGAAGACTGGCAACTTTGCCAGAATCTAAGCGACATATACAATGGCGCTGCGCTTGAGTGAAGGTGGAAGCAACGCATAGAAAAATGAGCAAATACTCAAACCCTTCGTCTGAGGATGTAATCTTGGCTATCAAATTCGTTCGAAGCAGTTACCTTTGAGCGGCAGATGACGCGATTGTACCTGTCTCATGGCGTTCGTATGAGAAAATGGAAGAGTTGCCAGTCTTCTTGATTTGTTGTCTTCGATTTAACATAAGCGCGACAATATTTTTATCTAGATGGAAAGTTTCTATGGTTTTGACAGATGGTATCGCTGCACATTTGAAGCGGCCGGTATACATTTTCGAGTGAAAGTTAAGTTTATGTTTCATGTCGGTTTGTCGGTGAGTAAAACGCTGTCCAGACTGGAGAGTTATAACATGTTATAACGGTTGTCAAATAATTGCAACACAGAAACCACCATCAAGATAGCGCTATAACATGTTATAACTCTGTAGTCTGAACGTACTATAAAGCCATTTCAAAATCCAAATACTCATTCTCTGTTGCAGATACGAGCTATCTTTTTTAACCAAGGGGCACGTTAATTTGAATCTAACAATTAAATTGCAAAATTTTGCTTAATTCCTACATACTGTACTTTCAAAATAAAGGAAAGGTGTGTTCTTTCAAATGAAAAAAAAAATAGAATCGGAAAATTAATTTCGGATCAATAAAATATCAAGCAAGATGCTATTTTCGAATATAAATATATATGCAGGGTATTTATTTCCATTTTCCCCTTTTTCGATTATTGTATACATTGAGATAGCTGCATAAGAATACGAATTTCATATTTGTAGTGTTTGCTTTGTAGCGATCTAATACAGTTTGTTCTTTTTTCCTGCGACACATCTGTGCTTATATAAACCTTCTTTCCATATATTTATTGTAAGTTATTCTCTTGTTGTCCTTCCATCTAATAATAGCTGCTAACAGTAGCTGTCACAATTATCATACAACCAGAATGCAGTTTTATCTATTTTCTGTCAACCGATAAGTTCCTATAAACTATTGGTACCTAAAGCTTTCGCCATTCCGAGTACAATTACCAGTTACATCATCGGTAAATAACAAATGTGTGAACTTTAACGTCCGACCACAGTTGATTTCTGTTTATATTGAAATTTCTATGACAGCCGAAATAAAAAAATAACAAATATTTATCATAAATATAACAAACCTACCTGTCAGTCCTAAGTGCAGAGTAATTGTGCAAAAGAAATGAATGTAAAATAATAAATTAGTTGCTAAATTTAACAAATATCAATTTAATTTCATTTGCCGCTTTTGGAACTAAACAAAATATACCTGTACTTTTGGAAAACAGAAATGTTTTTTCTCTCCTATTTTAATGTTTTTGGATATGCTGTATACCTATACTCAAATGATGCTTTTGTTGATGCTTGCTTTATGACTTACATATATCTATGTGTGTTTGCAATATGTGGTTTGATAATTTTGTTTGGTGACTATAATCGAAGGCAACATATCAAGAAGACTGGGAACTCTTCCATTTTTTCAAACGCGTCATCTGCCGCTCAAAGGTGAATGCTACGAACGAATTGAACAGCAAAGGTTCCATCCTCAGAAGAAAGGTTTGTGTATCTGCTCATTTTTTCTATGCGTTGCTTCCACCTTCCCTCAAGCACAGCGCTAGTGTCTGTCGCTCGGATTCAGGCAAAGTTGCCAGTCTTCTTGATATGTTGTCTTCGCTATAATCCAATGTACAGTTTTGGCTAAGTAAAGCAATTCAGCTTTCAGTTCAATTCGCTGCAGAAGAAAATGTGGCTGGATGATCAGAATTGATTTATAGCATGTTTTGCTATAGGGGTTCATTCACAAGTTTTTATGAAAGGTTGGGTGGGACGTTGCATTCGATTCTTATTTCATATATATATAACACAATGAGGCCTTCCTGCCAAGATCTTTGTAAAGCCCTCTTCCGTGGCTGTGAAGCATTTTTTCCAGTAGGAAAAATCCTAAAATCATCGCAGCCTTGCTATTGACCAATTGACCAATATCATAGTCAAATTCGAGTTGTTTAGAAATAGCGTGTAGAGCCCTTTAATAAAAATGTGCACGGTAAGAAAAAAGTAGTTTGTCTCCTTTTTCTCCTTCTAATGTTGTCAAAAATGATAGATCAAAACCACCCAACAGAAGTAGTAAAGTGTGGGAACCCTACGTTGAGTATAATCATATTTATACCTACTTTTGTGTGCAACTAACTAACTTTTGGGTAGAAAGCTAGTGGAAAATTCCATACGAATTGCACACAAGTAAATGAAAACCACTTTGACCCGCTTTACCTACTTTTGGGTTCCTGAGGTGAGTGAAAAGAACTTACTTTTGGGTACGTTTTTCTTACCGTGTGAGGGACTGTTACTAATCAAAATTTCAAATGCGTTCCAACCGTTTTAATCGAATTAACGGAACCAGGGGCCTTACTGGCGGCCATGTGTTTAATGCTATCATCTTAAGCTCTTAAGGCCACTTCTGCTTATAACATGACCTTCCATCCCTTTCCACCATCTATAAGTCAGGCGCCTCCGCCTTCTTCTTAACTAAGCAACAACATTAATTTAATCTATTAGGAATCTTGAAAAATGTTCAAATCTCATAATTAATTTTGTGCATAGTCTCGGAAGATCTAAATTTGTTTGACTAGCAGACACATGGAATAGATCGAACGTTATTGGGCTGTTTTGGTTAAACCTGGATATTGAATAGTAAAAATTGATCTATGATATTTTAATTGAATTCCCGTTGAAAAATAATTAGCAAAAGCATTTTGAGAACGCGGACAAGTTCTTTGATAATTAAACAAACCAAGAAATTTTTCATGATTTTGGAACTTATCAATATATTCAATCATCTAAGACTTGAATTTTTTTTTCAGTGAGAAAAAAATTCTATGAAACTGCATTTCAAAATAAAATAGAAAAATCTTGGTTGGGGACGGCCCCGTCTAGTGGTTAACAATCATACCTCTCACTCCAAAATCACGAGTTCAAATCCCATCCCTGGACAAGTCACGACTGACCCAAAACTGTTAAAGTGACTACTACCCCTCTGCGCATCAGAATTTTATCTTTCAATAAGTACACATAACCGTGATTTCACATCTTTCTCATTCATTTTTAAGATGGGTATTTAATGTATACTTTGGTACCATAAAGACCACTGAAAAAACGCATGGGTTTCATAGAACATTTGAACAGATATGCAAGATTCTTTTGTTATTTTGTTCGTCTTGGTGTGCTATGCTTATGCACTTTCCCAATGCAATAAATTAGCAGAACCCCATCTACATTTCATGTTACAAATATTAACGTTACTACTTATTTCATTTTGAGCCATGAAGAAAACCGAAATGCAACGGATATAGGGGAACTAGGGGCAAGAAGGTCACCCGGGGCAAGAGTGCTATCTCACGATGAACCTATGCACGGTATTTCTATGAAGCATTCTAAAAAGTTCTGTCCGAATCGAAGTCGTAAAAAAAATGCAAAAAATCATTTTGTGTTGATGCATTGAAAAGCTAGTTTTTTTTATAAGAATAAGGCATCATAAAATAAGGTTTTCGGAATTTCCCATTTATTTTTTTCACAATTTCTGCATTGAGACGTCACTATTGATGGTTGATTGAAACATTAGTAACAATAAATTATTGAATATTTTCTTTAATTAATCAAAAATTATATTCCTAAAAAAAAACTTTATACGGGGCAAGAGTGCCACCCCCACATTTATGTATTAAATTGTACAAAACTGTTCAGAAATTAGCACAATTGGGCATTTATGTTTTCAATATACATTTTTTTTTGTGAAATTTTGGAAAACAAATTGTATAAGTTTCCATTTGAATTCTTTGACGCACATGGTATATGTTTGTGATAAAAAAAAATATCAATATTTTAGTGGAATAAACAATAAAAGCAGTTGCTGTCATACCTAAGAATAGTAATTTGTTGTTTAGATATGAACATTTATCAGTTTCACTTCAATTTAGACATATGGTATTTTTGCGTGGCCCTCTTGCCCACAGCAGGTACGACATTAAATTTTGAAAAAAATCATTAACATTTTTTGATGGGGTTTAATTTTAATTTCAATGATGATACATGGAGACAAGGTTATAAACTTACAATTCGGTTCACGAGCTCCTATAAATATTAACGGAATCGCATATTAAAACGCGCTATCGTTAGGGTGACCTTCTTGCCCCTAGTTCCCCTAAGTGGGTCAGAAAAGCATGTGTGGTGCGATTGAATTAGGAATTTACGTATTTTCGTCAATCTATGCAGCATCCGCACTTCTATTAGCATTTTCTCAGCATCACGCACACATATGACGTGTTTGTTTGTTTACATTTATCTGCTGCTTGCTTCTCTGTCCATTCAAATCGATCTAATTGTTCAAGACTGGTTGAAAGCGTTTTTAAAACGCTCCAAACTACTCAGGTGAGTGTGACTATTGTCGGCAGTCTCTTTTTCTTCGACAACCTTTCCATTTGATCTGCGCCTTAACCAGCTGTTCTATTATTGGCAACTTGCGTATATTTCATTCAAAGACAAATCTGGCATAACATGACAGCTCAGTTGTAAAAATGTAATCAGATTGAAGCTGAGGAATCGTATGAATACATTCAGCGAAATGTTTTGACCGGTTTTGGGAATAAATAAAAGTGTGTGAGCTTCTATTTTACTTTTATTGAACATATTTCATTAACTATATTAAATATCCAGATTAATTTCATAAATCTTTTAGCTGTCAAGTAACGAGATGAATATTGAGGCATATTGAAATTAATCTAAATTTCAATATCTGAACATGACACCGTTATAACAACATCCCTGTTTTCGGCTGTAGATGTTACTGAATGCATTCTATGATTTCCAAACTTCCAAGCGGTTTTCAAACATAAAACACATAAAGGGTGATACGGTCAAAATTTGGTCAAGGGAAAACGCGTGTAAATCGGTGAAATCGTTTATTTAAAAAATCAAATTAAATTTCTTTTTCAAGCTCAATTAGTATAAAATTCAGGAAAAATATTCAGTTAGGCTTCCGCTTTTCCAAATCCGAATTGCCGGGCCTTACGCTTGACCCCTGCCATCAGATTTTGTACAGCCACCTTGTCCACCTTCTTCGCCGCAGAAAGCCAGTTTGCCTTGAACTGCTGCTCGCCCTTAGCAGTTTTTTTGGTCTTCTTTAGGTTCCGCTTGACAATAGCCCAGTATTTCTCAATTGGGCGGAGCTCTGGCGTGTTGGGAGGGTTCTTGTCCTTGGGAACCACCTGCACGTTGTTGGCGGCGTACCACTCCATGGCCTTTTTACCGTAATGGCAAGATGCCAAATCGGGCCAAAACAGTACGGAACAACCGTGTTTCTTCAGGAAAGGCAGCAGACGTTTATTCAAACACTCTTTCACGTAAATTTCTTGGTTGACAGTCCCGGAAGCTATGAAAATGCTGCTTTTCAAGCCACAGGTACAGATGGCTTGCCAAACCAGATATTTCTTTGCAAACTTTGACAGTTTCATGTGCTTGAAAACATCTGCTACCTTTCCCCTTCCTTTTGCCGTATAAAACTCCTGTCCCGGAAGCTGCTTGTAGTCGGCTTTGACGTAGGTTTCGTCGTCCATTACCACGCAGTCAAACTTCGTCAGCATCGTCGTGTACAGCCTCCGGGATCGCGCTTTGGCCGTCATATTTTGTTTATCATCGCGATTTGGAGTCACTACCTTCTTGTAAGTCGATAGTCCGGCTCGTTTTTTGGCTCGATGCACGGTTGTAGACGATACACCCAGCTTATTTGCGGCATCTCGGAGAGAGAGGTTAGGGTTTCGCTTGAAACTACCGGCAACTCTCTTTGTCGTCTCAGCGGCTTCCGGTTTTCGATTTCCCCCCGATCCAGACTTCCTGGCTGTCGACAAACGTTCCCCAAACACTTTAATTACATTTGTAACGGTTGATTTGGCAACTTTTAGCGATTTTGCCAACTTTGCGTGCGAGTAGCTCGGATTTTCGCGATGCGCGAGCAAAATTTTGATACGCTGCTCTTCTTGCTTGGACGGCATTTTGACAACTGAAGAGTGAATTCCAAAATCAAAATAGGAGCAACATTCTACACACACACACCTTCAAAATGAGGGGTGTTCAGGTTTTTTAAATGCAAAATTGAAAGAAATACGTCAAGTTGATATTGACCAAATTTTGACCGTATCACCCTTTATGTCTAAAAAGTTATGTTTAAAAAGGTCTGATTCCGGGGATGCGAGATAATTCAATGGATCACGGCATTTTCTACTAGATCAGTGGTTCCATGGAAAGTACCTTGTATACATTACGCTGAGATGAATAAAAACCATTCATTTGATCTATTAGTTATCCGTTTTATTTGAAAATACTATGTTAACAACAGCCAACAACTCGTTCAGTGCGATTGTTGTAGATCTCAAATCTAGTTACGATGCTGCGAATGTGATCATGCCAATATCATATCTTCGTCAACGTTTCTTGTCATGGTTTTAATGTGGAGAAGGATCTTCAATGTCTGCTAGGAGACTTTGGGATACGACATGGCACGCCAGAACCACTGGTTCAAATATTGTTCACGGAACAAATCACGAAATGAGGAATCATTTTTCAGGTCCAAATATTCATCCTGTGTTTCATCAAGACTTCCACATCCACATCCAGGTAGAAAACGGATTGCGGACTACATCAGCATCTTCTTGTATCAGCTCAGGGAAACACAGCTCACATTGATGATCCAGTGAGTGAAAATTAGCAATAATTTCTGATTAAAGATCCGAATTTAGCTCGTTCGCTCTTTTGTCAGTCATACTGCAGAGTCTATGGAACATGGCAACATTTCCAATACTAACCTTTCGGGGCCAGTTTTGCTTGAATGTCTTGGAAGTGAATTAGATGGGTTTGCTAGCCCTCTGAGATGAGCTAGCCATCGGCTAAAAATCTCATTAATAAAGTATTTAAAAAAATTACTGGCCCGTAGTTTCAAGTCCAGTGAATTTTGATGCACAAACATTCATTGAACAAGCTAGACGCTTATGCCAACATTCCACACTAAAATTAGCAATGAAATCATTTTTCCCTTGAACTTCCAAGAACATTTTGATTTCGACCTTCAATTCAAAAGCACGGTTGAGAACATTGCCTTTGGACAACCAGCGCACAACAGTGTAGAAAAGAGCCACGTGATCTGAATTAATTTGCTTGTAGAGTTCTTTGAATAAACGAGTGTTCAGAGCTCCAGATTTGATATAGTTAACAATAACAAGAATCAAGTACTTTTAACATAAGTTCCGGCAGAGTATTACTCTTGCTGGCAAGGCATATCGAACACCTGTGGCGTATGGAGCAAGCTCCATAATCTCTTTCTGAAATCTTGATTTGTTACCAAGCATTGCTAGAGCGCCATCGTTATTAACTCCACTTACTTTTTCCCACTGTAAGCCCGATTAAAAAATGTTTTGATTTTAGCTATGATATTGCCACTTTTGGCATATTTTTTTTAGACCAAACAAACCAAGACCCTAGCGCCCCCCTGAAAAGACTTCGCGGCCCTACTGTTCGCCGCAGACCACCGGTTGGGAAACCCTGTACTAGATGGTAGTGATTGCAAACCCAATCTCAGCTGATGTTGACACATCTCAGGTCATACTTCCGCAACCAACCGGTTTATTATTATGTCAGCCATTATACTACTTGATTGATTAGAAAATTTAAGTGACACTTCCATGTGTGTTGAACACTTAATTTGTATTGCCTATGTTTCAACAGCCGATTAGTTCTGAATTTTGTTTTGATGCGGCTCAGCTAACAGACTAGAATAGATATTTTCAGAGATACCAGCAAAAATAAATGCCGAGCTAATTGGCTGTTAGAGATTTTACCGAGCAAAATTGATTGTGATTGGTTATCATTGTTAAAGTTACTTTGTGTATAAAATATACTACGCAAAAATATGCATCCTTTCCTTGCATACTGCGCATGTAAGTATTATTTTCTGAAAAGTAATTATTGGGATGTTTGTTGTTGTTTTTTCTACATGGCTACAAATTTTTTAGATTAATAATCGCAGAAAGCGCAAGATGCCAACACTGTATAAATAAAAAATCTGATCTCAGCATTTGGTTGTACTTAAAGATAGATCTTCAGCATATTTAGATTTGATAGTTTTGAACAACTTTCAAGAATATAACAACATTCTATATCGAAGCGTTTTGATGTAAGGGATCTTTCTCAAAATTTGTAATCTTTAAAATTCAATATCTCTTGAAAGAAACATATTATTTTTTTTCTCATAAAGAGATTCTTATGTAAAGAAGTCCGCTAAACACTTTAGCGTCATCAAAATGAGGGGCGTTTTGAGATATTTGCATTTAAAGTTTTAAAATTTAAAAAATACAGTTATAAATAGAGTTGGCAACACTGTAGAAAATATAAAGTCACACAATTTGATTGTACGTTTAAAACCGCTTCAAATGCAGTGCCCAATGTCGTTTGCATCTTTATTGGTTTCAAAGATTTGTAAAAATTAAAATTGGTGTTTATTAAATATCGGTCAAAAGTGTACCGTTCCCAGAAGGCACAAGACCGTCAAAATGCACCGCTTTGCTCGATTGGAACAGCTTTTTTTCAGTTTTGTGGTGACAGTCGTCCATACTTTAACTAGAGGGCTTTACAATCAAGGCATAATCTCATTCTGCGTTATGGCGTTCGGGGAAATGACATTCGGGGTAACGACATTTGGAGTAATGAAGCACAACCTGATTCAAATGTCAAAACCAGGATCTTTGGCAGACATATTAAGTGTGGATGACCACTTTGGACATACCTGGACATGATAAGGGTGCCCCTAAGGCCTAACCGTTTGACATAATGGTCAATTGATGTAACTGCCGCTTTTTGCCTGGATGGATACTTTTTTTTTTATAAATCATGCACTCGTTCGAAACATTGAGAAGATCGAAGCGTTGGATTTGTATAGTAGGAAATCGGCAAGCACCAAAAACTGGTCTTGGTTGTATGGGAGGATATGTAAAGAGGATCCCCGTTTAAATTTGGCATACAAGACAAAAAATGTTAGATCATTTCAATTTTTACCGCAGGTGACTAATATAATGACGCCGTCCCAAAAAAGATGAACATATTGCTTAAGCATAAATCAATCCCTTCATGGATGCCACATTTATCTGCGCTGCAGTCTTCAACGTCACAAATTCCCTTCAAGCTAGCACAAAACTAAATCTACCGAATCCCATTCTGAGATTATTTTCAAGTACATTTAAAAATCCAGAAAAACGGCTTTACTTTCGAGTGTAACAGAGATTCGGTCTGTACCTTAAATGAATAATTTAGTAAAATAGGTACTAGTACTCACCATTAGCCGCATCATCGTTCACGTTTTCCGCTTCTGAGATTCCAAGGCGTACAATCATGAGAAAGGATTACTGCGTCGTTTCAGCGAACCAAACTTCTTCTCCGCTTCCAGCAAGGTTCGGTCGTTCCGGACCACTTCGAATGGACCATGCCGTTGGGCGGTGGGGCCGGCTCGATGCTCCTCGATGGCATCATCCGAAGGAAAATCCTCAAAGCTCATGTTGCTGAAACCCATCTGCTTACAAGCTTTGGCTGATTTTGTGCTGTTCTCCTCGTAACGCTCTCCTCCAGCACTACCGTTGGATTTTTCTTTCTTACTAACCTTGGCGGACACTTTTTTGTAACCGCCCACATTAACCTTTACCTTTTGACTAAGCTTTACTGGAATTATTGATGTGTGATTTCCCGCGGACCCGGATCCGCTAAGCATCATAATGCTAGAATCGTCCTTACCCGTTGGCGTCTTGTGGTCCTTTAGGGAATTGTATTTCACTTTCTCCTTCTTGCTGAGGAACCCACCACCCTTAGAGGAACTCTTCACAACCGTGTCGCTACTATCGTCGTAATCGTCCGATTTCAACTTCCGAACATCGTCGTCGTCGTCGTAATCTGTTTGAAAGTTGACATAGTTGTTGTCCGGGGAGAAGCTGTTGATGACGCTTTGCGTTGGAATTTGACCAAAGTTGATGTAGGACGATCGGGCGATCATGGGGGGATTTGGATTTGGTTTCTGGAGGATGGGCGGCGGTGCCGGTTCCAACGGGATTACAATAGGTAAAGCTGCCATTGTGTTTGGAATGATGTGCGTCAGTGCGACGGATCCCGATTGGACGGTAACCGTTGGAATTGATGTGGCTTCCGAGACAGGTCGGGTAGCGGGTATGGGTGGAGATAACACAAGTGGAGGAAACGGTTCCAAACCGAACAGATCGGTTCGAGCGTTTGGAGATCTTTCACGAAACGGTACCGGTTCGGGGGCAGTAATCGGAACCGTAACTGGAGGTGGTGGTGGTGGTAAATCTATGGGTTCCAGTTGAGATCTAGCAGGCTTGATAGGTGTAGAAGTACAAAAATTGTCCACAGATGGTGGCGGTGGCGGTAGCGACGGTGCCGGTATGGTCGGACAGTTTTCCGGGATAGGATTAACATTGGGCATATATTTAATACTGGTTCGCTTGGGAACTGCCGGCTTCTTGAAGGGTGCCATAGCGAAAGGATCCAAATCAATTTCATCCTCCTCTGTCAACTTTTCCGATTCGTCAGGTAAAGATTCCGGAGTGAATGGATCCATAAGTACTTCCTCACCGCTGGTGTTGTTCTCGGGAGCGGATTCGTAATCCAATTCATCATCCAACAGCAGCGGTTTGTCACCCTGTATCATATCTTCTTCACCCGAGTCGTCCTCATCGATTACGCTATGTTTGGAATCATGTTCTCGTTTCTTGACCCGTACTCTTGTGACGATTCGACTGGAGTTATCTTCATTGGTGGTAACGCTTTCACACTCGGCGTGATAGGCACTTGATCCACAGGTCTTAATACTTTCGCTAATACAATCATCCACGCTACCATCACCAAAAGTCATCCTGTTGAGTTTTTTCGAAGGTTTACCCGGAACCGTTTTACCACTCTCTCCTTCATCTCCATCGGGAAAGTCATCGTTTGCCCGCAAATCACTCGCCGATCCGATAGAATCATCCGACTCTCCTTCCTTACCTCCTTGTTCTCCAACCGATTTCTTCGCATGCTGCTTATCTTTGGACCTACCGACCTTTGGCTGACCCTTCTTTGTTTCAACCTTACCGCGCAGTTTCTTCACAATCTGCACATTCTTAATCTGACCCTTATCAACCTTATGGTAGACCGCCTGTAGCTTCTCCGGTATATTATTCTCTACAAACTGCTTAAAGCTGTGCTTCTTGACACCTCCAGCCGAATCCGGATAAAACTCCGAATCACTGTCATCGGATGTCACGTCGTTCGAGTTCAGCTTTTCGTACTTGTTCCTGTCGTCCAACGGCAGCTTGATGAAATTTGGTGAGCCCTTTTCTCCACCACTGATCAAATCGTCCAGCTTAATTCCCAACAGCGCTGACTTGTCCACTCCTTCGTCAGCATTGTCGTTCCTTCCATTCTCTCCGCTCACCGCACCAGGAGTCGTCGAAATCAAACTCTCCTTACCTCCTCCTCCTCCTGTCGAATGCCGCCACAAGCCTCCACCTCCTGCCGCACCAGCAATCACTTCACTTAGCTTTGAAGTCAACTTTGAAGACCTACCGGTTTTATCCTTCAATCGCTTGGGTAGAGTGAACGGTGCCGAACCGAACGGATCCTCTTCCGGGACGATCTCCACGGTCGACGACGGCAGCACGCTGGTCGAACAGGCTTGCGTCAATGTTGGCAACGAAAAGCGCTGTTGGCGTTGAGGTTTTCTCAACCAGGAACGTTCGGACTTCATCTCTTCGGGTGAAGTCACGATCGACGTCTGGCTGCCACCTTCCAACCGCAGCTTATCGAATTCTGCACCAAAGAGATGATCTTCGATCAGCGTGGAACTGGGACTGAACGGTGATGCATCGCCAAACGGGTTCCAGGTTGAATTGGAAACGGGTGACACAAGGGATTTCTCACTATTGGAATTGCTCAAGACGTGATGATGTCGACGATGTTGTGATGATGAAGTCGATGACTTAGAGTGGTGATGTCCAGCAGGGAGCAAAGTTGTCGGACGGGGTCGGGTTGATGACGAAGACGAAGACGGTGGCTCCGGTTCGAACGGCGAAAGCAACGATGCCGGAGAAACGGCAGACGGTTTATCTTTCGGCACGGAGGATTCCACCGGTGGAATCAGTAGGTGTTTGGCATCTGATGGGAAACATCTGCGGGAAGGAAACAGAATACAAGCATTAGGTAAGTTGTACGTGCCGACTATATTATTTTTTCGTGAAATGTACAGAAACAAGAAAGAAACACTTACCTAAAACCCACTTCAGCGATATTTCTCTGTGTTTCTCCGACCGCTACTGACTGGTGTTGGAGATCCATGTTTAACCCGGCTGGACTCCTAGCGCTCTGTTGGGCACATGCCGTAGGAAAATTGTCACTAAAATTGGCAACAAATAAGGCAGCACTTGCCTTCTCCTGCCCGGTCAACTGCCTGACATCGGCTTCAGCTCCCGGAACAGGGGACACCACATTTTTCGGCGATGGATTCAGTGGAGGTGGTCCCAAGTTGAATCCACCGCCAGTACCAGAGTGCTGACCTTTCGGACGGGATCTCGGAGCAACGCTTGTGCTAACACTGAACGGTGCCGATGCTGCCAACCCCACGATTTGGTGATGCTTCCGTTCGTTATGATCTGAATTACTATAGTTGTTGTGGTGGTTGTTGCCCAATGACTGCGATTTTTGACGCTCCCGAGCTATTCGGAGTGGATTATCCTTTCCGGAAATTTTAAATGCAAACTCACAGACTTGGTAGATACTGGGACGCTTCTCGGGATCAGCTTCCAACAGAAAACGAATTAATTGACAAAGTTCCGGAGAATATCTGCACTTTTCTGGAATGTTATACTGACAGTGTAAGATAGCTTTGGAACTTTCTCCGAAGGGTAACGTTCCAAAGCAAAGGCGATACAGTAGACAGCCAAGCGCCCATATGTCGCCCTTGGTAGTAATGCTGTGACCCGAGTTGAGATCAATCATCTCCGGGGCCCGATAGGCTTGAGTGGTGTTCTTTTGGATTTCCTCTTCGACTGCTTTCTTTCCGTGAGCCACCGGGTTGAGAAACCGGGTAGTTGCTGTGCTCGACTCGGACAGGATGAACCGCCCCATATCGTTTTGTACCACATTTTCCACCTTTAGGTCTCGGTAGATGACGGGTGCCTGGCTGCAGTGCAGCTGGGCCAAGGATTCGCACACATCACAGAAAACTTTCAACACTTCATACTCGCTGAAACCCGCCTGTCCGCGACCCTTAATCACGGCAGAAAGTTGATTCTTATGCTGAGGCATGCTGTTTCAGTACTGATTCGCCTGAAACAGGCGTATCCATTGCTTTGTGGAAACGAACGTCGCACTCCCACACTTTCAGTTTGTCAGCACTGCGTTGCAAAGGTTGATATCCTGTAAAAACGAAAGTTTCAGCATATACCAAGATAATTAGGTATGCAGCAAAATTCATATTCTGATCAGCGGTTTGTTTACATTCTCTTACAGGATAATCAAGCGAAAAGGGCCATTAGTGCCAAGACACAATACAAACATGGGAATACCCCAGAGGTACTTTTTGCTGATGCATGAACATTTTTAACTGTGGCTGCAACTATTTCGCAGCAGCTGCAAGTAGAAATTTGCGTGTCTACGACCCCTGAGAATGCACAGCTGATGTTATGCTACGTCAGCGATCATCACCAGCGAAGGAAAATCGTAGTTTTCGTTGTTATTGCAGCCACTTGACTTATTGTTCTAGGTAAGACACTAATCGGTACTTACAGTTGCTTTAAATAAACGCTTTCACACCGGTTGGAAACACTTGCACAACATGAAATACAACGAAATATTCCGCGAGAGTTCCCCGATACTGCTGCAAATTCGATAATCGTATTTTTGTGAGTTTTCACCGCGACTGACAGCGAGAAGGAGAAAGTGACATTCAGTGTTTTGGTTTTCTTTCTGAGGCTTTGGTGTTGGAAAGTCGAATGGTCCTGACACCGCACAGTGTATTGAAAAATTGCGCGAAGACTGAAACCAAAAGTTCCAATCGAACCGTCAAACGCGGTTCCAATCGAGCAATGTAAATAAACACGAGCCCTTCACGAGGAAAAGCATGGGGAGCATTGAGATTGAGGTTGAAATTTAAGGGTTGAGATTTAAATTATCAAAATACGTTTGCGTATGAAAAGTATAAAACATCTCCCGTGTCAGGCTTATTACAATCTTTTACATCATCATAAATTTAATTATATGTTCCCTCGTTAAAATCCGCAACAATTTCAAAAACAGGAACTGCACCCGGAACTGCCACGTATTCATTTTTAAATCCACTTTCATCTAAACGACAAATTCAATTATCAATACGGTAAATTAATTAAGCTACGTAATCGATTTTTCCGTCACGCTTTGACCGAAAGAATTGAAACCGAGATTGAAACCACTTTTGTCTGATGACGCTGTCTTTGGAAAACCAGAAGAAACATACATTTTTTCACGCTTTATTCGGTGTATTTTTACCGAGATTTTTACAGAAAGATACTGCTCATATATAAAATTACCATAAACGAACGATAACCCAAATAATTGAACTATTCCACAAATGGTTTGCATGCGTCGTTAAGCAAAATAACATTTAAAATTTTGTTAGGGCGTGTATTTCAATTGAATTTTTCAAATAATTACCGAAATGTGTTTTCTAAAATACAAATATCTCCGACTGTAATAAAGTTATATCACAGACAAACAGACATAACACATTGAATATTTCTCACTGTAAAAAATCGTCGCTAAAACATTATCGCCATCTGTTGACTACACTGTGGTGGGTAGTACGCTGAACAGATGGCGGTGGTGTGTAAACGTCATACGCAAGGGAATTGACTGTGCGCGCCACAGGTGGCGGTACTACCAACTACGATACTTTTAAATTGACCGTTAAATGCTTGTTCGATGATCTACTTGCGAGAGTTATGTCTGTTTGTCTGTGGTTATATTATTTATTTTAACGCCAAATTAGAGATTATAAAATTTGCTTTCGATCGTTTGAACCCATTTTTCAGTGAGGTTAATGGTACAACTCGTGGTACAATCACTACAAACATTTTTATTTACACTGCTTAAAAATGCAAAATAATAAAAAAAAAAATAAACAAACTATTAATTAACAACAATACCACTAATCTCACTGACAATTGCTGTTCAGTTGATCGAAAGAAAATTTTCTTACTTTTACCTTGGCGTCAAAATAATTGATATCGTCTCATTAAAACCGGAGATATTTGTATTTTAGTTAACAAACTTTTTTAATGTGAAATTTATTTTTTTAGCTGTATCTCAAAAACAAGATCATTTTTTCTTCTTTTTTGTAGACAAGTGTAATTACAAAAACAATTTTGTATTTCTAGTGCCTGCGCGCAAATGTGTTTTTAGTAGATCAATTGCTACACGGAACCGAATTTTGATCATTTAAATCAAAAATATAAATGTTCATTTTATAAACATATGAATAATTCAAAATAAATTAAGAACATGTTTGCAACAAAAATACTTGTGTTTGAATTAAAGTCAAAAGCATGTTTATTTCAACAATATAGCATTTGGGTAAACGATTTTTAGCGTGCCCTGCCTTTTTTTCCTTCTTGTAAATATTGCCCCAGCTTTGCCAATCAACTGAAAGTGGCCCGCAACAAAACCGATGTCATGGATCCGGAAACCCACCTAGGTAAGTGTCTTAACAAAGTTCCAGCTCAATAAAACCGGAAGAACTCCACAGTATCGACGTCACTCTGTCGTTTCTGATGCCGATCCCTGTATCATCCTCCTCCACAAGAGACGTCGGAAGAAAAACGAAAATCTGAAATGGATTTTGAATCTATTCCGGATCCTCCAACCACCTCCCCCCTTCTCCAACACCGAGCGTAGAAAGAGGCCGATACGCTATATATCACAAAGTGTCACTGGTTTTACTGAACTGGAACCTCCGGACACTCACCTCGACGGGTCCCCACACCTCGGACCATGACACATCCACAGCCCACCTTTAATCACATCCGAAAAAGAGGAGGAGTTTAGATGCCCTGTCTGCAGATCCTTTTTTTGGTTTATCCTAGCAACATTCAAATGCTAATATAATTTAAAATTAAGTATGTTTCTTTCAAACATAAGAAGCATGTTTAAAATAAACATATTAATTTTTGTACGCATAGCTGTCAAACCAAACAAAAATATTCATGTTATGTTTAACACAAATATTTTTAAAATAAACGTAACAATATTTTTATTTTAAACATTAATATAACATGACTTCAAACATGGGATACGTTTGAAATAAACCTTGTTATTTTTTATGGCCAGAACAAACTGAGTTTACGTTTAAATTTACCTCAATTATTTTTGTTTTAACGATAAATTTTTCTGCGTGTAGAACCTGCACCTTAAAATTTGCGTTACAGTTTGTAACAAAATTTCAGCATCCCTGCATTCCCTTCCACGTTTCGTAATATTTTAACGGACCCTTATTTCATTGTTTTACCCGTTTTACCGTTATCGTTATTTTTTTTGAAGATTTTTTGAATTTAATGAGAAGAGAGCTCACTGTGAAGTCGATTGAACGATTTGTATTCCTTTCGAACATAAATCTAATACCGATTTCGGAAAAAAAAAATCAGAGCCAAAAAACAAGAAGCATGACAACTACTCGTACCACTCGTACCGCTCGTATCATGCTAATTCAAATTTCTCTGAATAAAATATTATTCTTTGTGGTTGTCTTTGCAGACGGCTAAGACCATAGTTTGGTCCATCTCGCCATAAATTATTCTTTAAGGCTTGTAATTTTGTCATAAATTAAATTAAGGACATTTAACAATGAATTCATTCAAATGTGTTTGTAACTGTGACTCGGAACCGCGTTTTATATTGAATGGATTGCACGACTCGACAGAGTCAACCCAACTGGACAAAGCCCTCGATCAACTGGTCGATTCGGCTTGGGGAGACGAAGATGAGGAAGCTGATGAAATACTTGTAAGTTTTATAGTCGTGATATGCATTTTCTGAGACATTTTTCTTGAATTGGAAAAATTGCATCAAATTTAGGCATGCTTCATAGGAAACCTCAAGAAAGGAAACTACACCCATTCGGAAAATGACTTCGAGGATGTCTTTAGCAGTAACAAAGGACTCAGTCCGAATGCGATCCTAACAAGTTTAACATACGATGGAGGATCCTGCCACTGTCGTCAAGTGTCTCACAGGATTTCTATTGCGCTAAACTGGGGTCTTGCCGAATTGCACTGCAGGAGCCAACCGAACGAGCTGCGTCTCTTGGAAGTTCTTGAATTGGTGGAGCCCTTTGCAGGAATGTCCGTTAACGAGAAAGGCTGGCAATCTTTTCTTCAGCAATTGTGGAAGTTCAGTATCGAGTCAGGTAAAAGGAAATTAACGGCTAAAATGGTATCGATCTACCCAGACGAGATTAATCGTTTACTGGAAAAGGTGTTGAGTTCTGATGTCATTGATGGTGAATCATTTCTGGATAATTCGGATTTCAATAGTATAATTTCCATTATAACTCTGCCGGAGGTGTTTAGACATGTAAGCTTATATTTAGCACAGAGAAACTCAGTCTGTTCAGTTCAGGTTCAAATCTTGCTAAATGCAATCCTGAAAGCATTGAAGTCAAGTTTACCAAAAAGTCGTTTGTTAGCTCTTTATTCCGATAAGCTAAGTTCAATCGCGGTAATACTGCATGAAACTATTAATCCAGATGATCCGTTAGTGGCGAATCTGCTTGACCGGGTCAAGGAGGAATGCTGTCTAGATTTCCTTATTCTTGTTACACACTTTCCAATTTTTTCACATATGAAATAACATTTCTTCGTTGCGTGATTTATTTTCCAAAGAAATCCCTATTTTCATTCAAAAATTATAAATCTCTCGTTCAATAAGTTGAATCCATGGTGCCAGTCGCTTATTGATTCGTTTCAGTCTTAAATTACAACCGATTAGTTCCCTGGCTTGCTCCACTCGTTCACATCCCTGAACATCCAGAATAGGTATGTAGTTGTTCGCCATTGATTGTTTTGCTTCTTGTATTCGATTGGCTGTATCTGCAACATTCATATTCTGGCGCTTTGCATCATCCTGCAAATCCAACAGGTAGCATATCAAATCTTTGGAACTGTTGAATGAAGAGTCACTTGGACCACGTAGCTGTACAGACCCATAGATTCGTACGCAACAGTTTCGAGGGACTTGGCCGAAGTAGTTGTCGAAGCACAACTGCAGACTCCAGCTGCTATCGGGTATTTGAAGTTCCCTAAAGTTGAATTGAGGGTTGTTGAGAAAAAGCAGGCGTTGGTCGTGGCAATTCTCTCTATGGTACTTACTGTGACAAACCGGGTACCATTAAAGATTCCAAGCAGTTGCTACGTTCTCGAAGATATCCGATTATGGCACATTTTCCGTAGTGTACTGATGTAGGATGACTTGCTAGGGTAACTTCTTCGACCAGAAGTGGCTCGTAGTGTTCACAGAATGATGGTATTTCTAGAACTGTTTGTTCTTGATGATCTGATGTTTCCATTTCTAGTTACAGAATGGTCTTAAATCTAAGCTCCGCCTCACGCTCTCTCGTAAATGTGACTTAAAGAGTACCTCAGCCCAGTGGCAGGCGCGTAGGCCAATGAGCTGGATTACCGAGGTGGAGCAGTCGGTTAAGTTGTGTGAGTAAAACCCCTGTATGATACATGCAATTAGTGACGTCACTACTTGCGTTTAGGTTGATTTTTTGGATTACTAAACAACCATATTTCACGATCTGCTTCACCTCTCTCGCGTAGGCAACATGTCATACAGTGACAGCGGGCCCAGCA